CAACTCAATAACTCCTAAGTATTTCCATAAAGTACATGTCAAATATATCTGTGTGTAGTTTTCGTATATGATATGTGATATGATATAGTTTTTAAAATTGATATGTTATACCAAAATACATACATATACACACACACACACACTCACACACACACACACACACACACACACACACACACACACACACACACACACCACACATATATATATATATATATATATATATATATATATATATATATATATATATATATGTATATATATATATATATATATATATATATATATATATATAGTGTATATATATATATATATATATATATATATATATATATATATATATATATATATATATATATATATATATATATATTATATATATATATGTATATATATATAGTACCATCATTTACTTATTCTCTTATCTTTCTAACCGAAAAACTAATTAATCTTATATTTTAATAAAACTCATGCCAAGTTAAAATATATATTTTTTGATGTTATTATTTTTCTTCAATTTTTATGTGCAGAGTTAAAGTACTAAGTTATTAAGGTGTTTAAAATCAGAACAAGTCGACTTAAATATACATAATCACATTATTTAATCTTAAACTTAAACTTAACAATAGAATATTTGAACGAGTTTACACTAAGAATTGGTAACAAAGGTTTTGCTCAACAGTTTGTGAGTTTAATTTCAGTATGTTTAACATGATTTAGAGAACAAAACCTGGACAATATATTTTAACGCCCAGCTTTTGAAACAACAAAAAATTTACAATCACTTTATTAAAATGAATCTAAATCATTTGCTGTTACAAATTATGTCATTCTATTTAATAAGCCTATAAATATTTTTAACATTTTAGATTATTTGCAGCCTAACAAAGTTGTGAAAAACAATATTGAATAATTCTAATTTTTTAAAGTTTTATTTCCGTTACAAAATTTAGTGAATAAAAATGTTTTATATTTATGAGTTTGCCATGATTGCTCTGATTGAATCATGGCAAAATACTTATTCAGTTCTAACTGTTTATTGAATAAGCTGGGTCTTTAAGGCTTGACCTTGGTGAATGCAGTAAAAAATATTTAAATAAGATCTTATGTGTAAAACACTTCAATGTGCCCTTTTTTATATTTTTTTCTTTTTTAGGCCAACTCTCACGTGTCGGCGGAAAGTTACCAAAATATGTTAAGGACTTAATTCAGAGGTAACTTTTGTATTTCTTCATTTATATTTTTGTTTGTTTTATGTATATTCACTGAATATTCAAATTCTGAATTTCAGAACATTAAAGGCATTATGAATAAATGCAAAGATTTTGTTAATTATTATTTTAATATTACTTTAAATGAGTTTACATATTGCATGTGAATATTTATATAACACTTTAGCAAACTAATACAAATGGCTATAAAAATGATATCAATAGAACATTTTGAAGTATTTTTATTATAAAAGTTTATTTCTTAAAAGTTAAAAAATGCTAACTTATGAAAATTATGAAAATTGTCAAAATTTTTATAAAATTTTTGTATTTATAATGCTATAAAGTATCCATGTCAAAAGTATTAAAAATATTATTAACAATATATGAATATTTGTTATAAGTAACTATATATATATATATATATATATATATATATATATATATATATATATATATATATATATATTATATATATATATATATATATATATATATATATATATATATATATATATATATATGAAGACCACACGGGTAAAACCACAGATGTCACATTTTTCTCATTTCGAGAAAAATGAAATTTAGTGTTTAGTGACTTTAGATATCTGTTTATTAATAATTTATTTAATTAAAAGTATATTTTTCTGACATTTTAGTCCTTATACAATATAAAAACGCAGTTTTTGTGCTAAATACAAGTGTTATTTATTCACATGTTCTTTTGAAAACAAGACACTCATTTTTGGACATCTGTTGTTTTTCCGTTGTAAACTCATCAACTCGTAAATTACGTTAGATTGTAACCTTTTAGAGCACTTATTTTTTTTTAAGGTAGATGGTAACACATTGTAATTTACAACTACAACGTACTAAGTGTGTGATGGGATAATAAAGCCACCGCCCCCTCCCCCTCTTTAAATAAAAAAAATTCGATTCACGTTCACAGAAAAAACATTTTAAAAAATCAAAATGTTTTTTTTAAATGTTTTTCTGTTGTTTACTTCATCCGAAAAGTTAGTCATGTGACTTACGCTTTTATTATCATGGTTTAGTTAAAAATAACTTGTTTTTACGCGGTAAACATTGGACAACAGTGGTTGTTTCAAAGTTGCCCTTTTTTTTAAATGACCATAGAACCTTAAAACATAGTTTTTTGTTATGAATTTTTAAATTAAAATAGGTTAATACTAAAATATCATAAAAATATATAAAACTTGAAATTTTCAAAAAGTGGACATCTGTGGTTTTACCCGTGTGGTCTTCATATATATATATACATATATATA